CTGGGCAGCGAGACCTCATCTCTTCAATAAATCAAAAAATCAGCTGGGCGTGGTAGCGCATGCCTATAATTCCGGCTACTTGGAAGTCCGAGGTAGAAAGATCGTCGGAGCCCAGCAGATCGAGGCTACGGTGGCCAGGAGCGGCCACTGCACTCCAGTCTGAGCGACAGAGTGAGACTCCAACTCAAAGAAAAAAAAGGAAAGAAAAAGAACACCTGACCCCAGACAGTCAGCCCAGCAAGCAATGGGCAGGTTCCCCAGTGACCAGTTTCCTCCTTTCTGGGTAGCCAAGGGTCTGCAGCAGTGTGGAGAGAGAGGGCAGAGTTACAGTACTTCCAGTACTTGCTGTTTCCGGCCCAGGATGCAGTAGGCTCCTTGCCATGAAGGGTGGCAGAAAACCTCTTCCTAATACTGCCTGTTTGCTGGTGGTGGGGAGGGTCTTAAAATGTATCTGTCTATATAAAGTGATTCACGTGTTGGTTAGATCTTAGACGAGTCCACAAAAAGACCCTTTAGTCTATGAAGTAGTTTAAGTACAGTTCAATAGTACTTTAAAATCGTATAGAGAAAACGTAGTGTGACAGTTAAGTGCCTATAAGCTGGAGTCAGGCTGCCTGAGCTGGAATCCTGCAGCTCTGCCTTTCATTAACTGTGTGGTGTAGGGCAAGTTACATAGCTGCTTTGTGCCTTAATCTCCCTATCTGTAAAATGGGGATAACGTCAGAACCTGTTGATAGGAGGATTAAGTTTGTTATTTCATATAAAACATGGAGGGCAACACAGTTAATTCACAAACGTTAGCTATAAAATAGTTGTTGGCTTCTGGCTACTTTCCCATTAGAATATAAGCTCCACAAAGGCAGGGACTGTATCTGTTCCACTGGCATACAGAGCTGTACCTGGCACATAGTAAGTGCTTGACAGGTGCCTGGTAAATGATGACTGGAGTCAGCAAACACGATGAGTCCGTTCGGGGTGTCCTGAAACCCCTGACCGCGTACACAGGTAAAGTCTCAGAAACACCAGACTACAAAATCGGGAGGATGAGACTAGTCAAAGGAACTCATGCAATTACTCATCAGATGTTCACTGAACAGCTGCTTTGTTAGCTTAGAACATGCCGGATAAACAGGACCAGCATATTTCCAACTGTCAGGGCAGTGTGGTGGGAAGGGGCGCAAACACGCACACTATGCTGAGAGCTGGCGGGTGAAGGCATGCAAGCGGACAGGGTCATGTGTGCAAAGACGGGTCACGGAGAGGGTCTCCAAGGTGCACTTGGAGCACGCTTCTGTGCTGTAACTGTCCTGCTACAGTGGTAATTGTACTGTATTCAAAAGTAAGTACTGCAAAGCTCAGTCTAGAAAACGTAAAGAATAAACTCTAATGGAGGACCAAAAAATGAAACTGAAATAAAAAGTACCAAGAGCTTAGCTATCAAGGCTTAAAATCATGAAAAGAGTATTTCTTCCCCAGTTAGTATATAAATTGTTGAAACTTCATCTTATTTTTGTAACTGGTCAAAATTATTTTAAGGCTTATGTGAAAGTATGTCTGATGATAGCCAAGAAAAAGTTTCTAAAAAGTAGGGGACACCTGCCTTAACAGACACTAAAAGTTATGAGAAATAGTTGTGACAAAATGTGGTGATAGTGACCCAAGAGTTGACAAACAGATAGGAAGATGTGACTAGAGCCCGGACATAAAGGCAAGTATAGATGTGATCCTAATACCACATGTTGAGAAAATAGGATTACCTTAGTAAATGATGTTGGTGTAACTCACTGCACTTCTGGAAAAACAGCAAGTTAAGGCCGGGCACGGTGGCTCACGCCTGTAATTCCAGCACTTTGGGAGGCCAAGATGGGAGGATTGCTTGAACCCAGGAATTCATACCAGCCTGGACAACATAGCAAGACTTGGTCTCTACAAAAAATTAGCCGAGTGTGGTGGCACACGCATATAGTCCCAGCTACTTAGGAGACTGAGGCAGGAGGACCGTGTGAGCCCAGGAGGTTGAGGCCGTGGTGAGCCATGATCGAGCCACTGCACTCCAGCCTAGGTAAAAGAGCTAGACCCGACTCAAAAAACGCCAAAAAATAAACAAGACCCCTATATCACGTCATGTACAAAACAAATTTCAGAAGGATTAAAGATCTAAACTTAAAAGGTATGCTGTTAGAATCCCGTTTAGGAGAATCTATAGAGAAACTTGGAGTGGTGGAAAGCCTCCTGAAAGACTCCGCCGAAGTTAGGAGTGGGGAATCCAGAAATGTTTGAATGACCAAAATAAAGTCAAAAGACAAATGATCTACTGAAGGAAAATAAAGTACACAAATGGCAAAGAATTAAGATGCTAATCACAAGAGCCTCCTAGAAGTTGATGAGGAAAGACAGAGTGAAATAGAAAAATGACAAAGGAAGAAGAGATACCTTGCAACAAGAAATTGGCCATAAGCAAGGAGATTAGGTATTCATTTTTACACATCAGATGGGAGGGATTTAAGAAGTACAGCCAGGTTCGGTGGCTCAGCCTGTAATCCCGCGCCTTGGGAGGCTGAGGTGAGTGAATTGCCTGAGCCCGCGGGTTCGAGACCTGCCTGGGCAACTTGGTGAGACCTCATCTCTACAATAAAATCAAAAATCAGGTTCGAGACCTGCCTGCACAGCGAGACCTCATCTCTACAATAAATCAAAAAATCAGCCGGGCGTGGTAGCGCATGCCTGTAATTCCGGCTACTCGGAAGGCTGAGGCGGCTGGGAGCGGCCACTGCACTCCAGTCTGGGCGACAGAGTGAGACCAACTCAAAAAAAAAAATAGCATACTGCTGGTGAGACTGTAGAGAGACAGGCACTTGGTGTACTGGTAGGCCATGGCCTGGTGAGTCCCTTGGGAAATGTCCTCTGGCAGTGCCTTCTCACACGGCAGTCCCATGTGAAGGAGTCATCCTGTAGAACTAGGAGTTCCAGTTAGGAAGATTCGTTTTGGGTAGCAATTTAATAGCAGTATTTATGGTGGCAGGCAAAAAACAAACAAGTTTCAGTAATCACAGTGAGAAGTGATTGAACAAATCATGGAATATTCTTTGGAAATGTAAAGCTTTCAAGACTTATGTTCAACTCATTTCTTTATCTATGATGTCATGAAAAAACTGCTGAGGGAAACGTCTACTATCATCGTGTTTTGGTTTTGTTTGCTGAAAAAGAAGCAATGTAAATCAGCATGCAGCCCATGGTAAAGGGAGTGGAGGGTGGCAGTTGGCAGGCAGCTGGCGCTGGGCTGGGCCCTGAGGGCGCAGGCGGATGGGAATACTATGACCCTGTGCTCTGTGGACGGGCTTCCTAGGATCGTTCCTACCTGTGGCAGCAGGCCCACGTGTGTCTTACTCTCATCAGTTAAAGAGAAGAAATAAGAGAAGCAAGTAACCAGGCTTGGTGGCTCAGCCTGTAATCCCGTGCTTTGGGAGGCTGAGGTGAGTGGATTGCCTGAGCCCGTGGGTTCAAGACCCGCCTGGGCAACTTGGCGAGACCTCATCTCTATAATAAAATCAAAAATCAGCCGGGTGTGGTAGTGCGCACCTGTAGTTCCAGCTACTCGCAAGGCTGAGGCGGCAGGATCGCCGGAGCCCAGCGGGTCGAGGCTGCGGGGGCCGGGAGCGGCCGCTGCCCTCCAGTCTGGGCGACCGAGTGAGACTCCAACTCAGAAAAAAAGAGAAAAGCAGCAAGTGAACGGAGAGTTTGGCTTTAGAAATTCTGGTCGCAAAAATCATTCCATTTCTGTTCATGTGGAAGTGTACTCTAAGTTTGGCCCGTCTTTTCCGAAATAAGCCAGAAACGCAGAAATGTTAACAAGTTAAGATAAAAAGAAATGCAGTATCTGAAATTTTCTTTTTCAGTCTTGGAAGTAAAATAGCCTTTGAGATTTACACATTTATTCTCTGAATATATTTTAGGGTGTTTTCTCGAAAGGGGATTTGAGAGAAAATAAATAAATAAACAAACGTTCGGGTGGAGCGTACTGGTTGCCTGCCTTGGTGAAGAGATTACCTAGAGGTTTTTCCAGTAATTTCTATCCCACGTATCAAAAAAGAATTAAGGCGGTCCCACAACAAGATTTTTGTTGTTGTTTTTACAATGGCATCAGTAAGAATCGAGTTTTAAATCTACTCCAGGAAGGTGAAGAAAACAAGAATGCTAACCTGACCAAAACAGCTCCTGACTGAGGGCCGTGGCTTAAGCCTGTAATGGCAGCACTTTGGGAGACTGAGCAAGAGGGCTTGAGAGCAGTTTGAGACCAGTGTGGGCAATGTAGTAAGATCCTGTGTCTACCAAAAGGAAAAAAAGTTAGCCAGGCACCTGCCTATCATCTTAGCAGACTTAAGAGACCGAGGCTGGAGGATCACTTGAGCCCAGGAGGTTGAAGCTGCAGTGAGCTATGATCGTGCTACTGTGCTCCAGCCTGGGGAACAGAGCTGCATTAAATAAAAGTCTGTGCTCCCTAGCATTAAGGGGTAAAGGGTTAGGGAGAGATAATAAAACTTACGTTGTCCCTTAGCAGGTCTAAATCCTTGCAGAGAAAAGCCATTTTCCCTGAAATTTCCCTGAAATTCTGAAAGAAAGAAATCATACGGGATTTTATTATGGAGGGCAATATTGCTTTCACATAGGAGGGCATTGACAATTGTGTACAAGTTCAGAAGCTGCTATTATATGGCTCTGTTAACAAGCTAAGGCCAGTAAAAGGCAAGTCTGTGAAGGCAGTCTTGGTTAAAGAGATTTCTCATTTTGGGAGGCTGACACAGGAGAATCACTTGAACCCAGAAGTTGGAGGCTGTTGGTAAGCCATGGTTGTGCCACTGTACTCTAGCCTGGGTAGCAGAGTGAGATCCTTACTCAAAAAAAAAAGTTCTTAAGTCTCAGTATTCAGTAATCTAGTGTTAAATTGTGAAGAATAAAGCTAGACTATAATAAACTGGCGAGGTTTTCAAAGCTACGGTTTAGACCTAACTGTTCCATTTTTGAAATGGGAGAATTAGTTACTTTTTTTGTGAGTTGGAGTCTCACTTTTTCCACCCAGGCTGGAGTGCAGTGGCGCAGTCATAGTTCACTGCAGCCTCAAACTTCTGGGCTCAGGTGATCCTTTCACCTCAATCTCTTGAGTAGAAAATGCCCACTTCATTTTTTTATTTTTTTGTTGAGACGAGGTCTTCCTCTGTGACCCAGACTGTTCTCAAACTCCTGAACTCAAGCCGTTCTGCATCAGCCTCCCAAAGAACCCCTCTGCCTAGCTAGTTAGTTAGTTATTTATTTGTTTTTATTTATTTATTTATTTAGTTTTGAGTCGGAATCTCACTCTGTCACCCAGACTGGGGTGCAGTGTCCAGTCCCAGCCTCGACCTGCTGGGCTCCGGCAGTCCTTCTGCCTCAGCTTTCCAAGTAGCTGGAACTACAGGCGCGCGCTCACACGCCTGGCTAATTTTTGATTTATTGTAGAGATGAGGTCTCACTAAGTTGCCCAGGTGGGTCTCAAACCTGCGGGCTCAGTCAATCCACTCACCTCAGCCTCCCAAGACGCGGGATTACGGGCTGAGCCACCGAGCCCAGCTGTGTTTTTTGTTCGTTTGTTTTTTGAGTTGCAGTCTCACTCTGTTGCCCAGACTGGAGTGCAGTGGCTGCTTCCGGTCATCGCAACCTCGACCTGCTGGGCTCCGGCGATCCTTCCGCCTCAACCTTCCAAGTAGCCGGAATTACAGCCATGCACTACCACACCCAGCTGATTTTTTGATTTATTGTAGAGATGAGGTCTCGCTGCCCAGGCGGGTCTTGAACCTGCGGGCTCAGGCAATCCACTCACCTCAGCCTCCCAAAGGCGCGGGATTACAGGCTGAGCCACCGAGTCCAGCTGTTTTTATTTTTCTAATTAATTTATTTTTTTAGTTGGAGCCTCACTTTGTTGCCCAGGCTGGAGTGCATTGGCATGCTGATGGCCACCATAGCCTTGACCTGCTAGGCTCAGGTGATCCTTCCACCTCAGCCTTCCAAATAACTGGAACTGTAGGCACGTGCTACCACACCCAGCTTATTTTTTTATTTATTGTAGAGGTGAGGTCTCATCAAGTTCCCCAGGCTGGTCTCAAACCCCTGAGCTTAGGCAATTCTCTTGCTTCGGCCTAGTTACTTATTTTTATCTACACATGAAATTCTGTAAAGTTCAGTGGTTTCTCATAAACAAGTAACAGTTGATTGACAGTTGTCGTAACAAGTTGTTTTGATATTTCAAGTATAGTGTTTTTAAAGTTAATTGTAATATGTGTATGTATATTTAACTTCCTTTGTGAGTTCTAGACTTGGGTGCCAGGAGTGGTTGAGGCATCATCGGTTCATCCCGTCTATTGGTCTGTTGGGGCCAAGTAACCACAGCAGTAAGCTTATTATAAGTACATGTATTGTTTATCTAAACCTGTGCGATTTTCTCTTTCAGGCGGGGAACTGGTGCTTTTAAATCCAGAGTGGGACTGCCCGTGCCTGCTCCTGTTATCAACAGCAAATATGGACTCAGAGAAACAGATAAACGTTTAAATAGGCTAAAAAAGCTAGGTGACAGCAGCAAAAACTCAGACAGTCAGTCTGTCAGCTCTAACACTGATGCAGACACCACTCAGGAAAAAAACAATGCAAGTAAGTAAGGGAGATTTGATAAGCATCTCTTTCTAAAGTGTTTGCACACAGTTGCTTCCTAAAGTGTGCTTCCGTAGTCTTAAGTGTGTCCATACTGAGAGAAGCTGGAACTCACAAGCTTGGGCAGCATTTCCAGGCTCTAGAACCGTTTGAGGTCAAAGGCACGGTCTGTGTCCACCTCCAAGTTCAGTACCGTCTCTAGACTGTGCTGCTCAGATACTTGGGAACTGGATGTGGAGGTCTTCATCGTACGTTCCAGGGCATCGTGTGGGTGAGAAAAGCGTTCAAAGTGGTAGTGGCACTGTCAGGATGCCACTAGGCCCTTCAAGAGGACACAAGGACTGGGGAGAATCACAAAGACTGACGCGCTGCAGCGTCTTGCCAGTCTGGCAGGAAAAGATGGCGGGCTCGGGACGCCGTCGCCTCCAGCCCCAGGGCTGCTGCCTTCGACTTCTCTCTGACCTTTCTCGAACCGAACTGACCCGGGTTGCCAGACCCCCAGTTATGGCCTCAGTTGCCACAGAGGAGCGTTTTGAGTGTTGCTGTGTACGACCTGTTGTGTCAGCTCCCACAGGAGGGAGAGAGAGGAGAAGGAGAAAGATGAGGCCGGGTGTGGGCCATGGCCTGATGGAGACGGGACAAGAGAATGAAGAGAGCAAGAGCAGAAGGCTGAAGTGGGCAAAGGAGGCACGTCCTGGTGGTGGGGCTTGACGTGCCGGGGCGGCCCCCACTGCCGCTCTCCCGGGTGACACCGGTTTTCTGTAGCTGCCTCTACAGCATAGATGCTTCAGTCTGACTTGTTTCTGGAAAAGACAGAAGTTAGAAAGCCTGGCCTTGGTGATTCCCAAAGGGTGCCTTCGTAGGCACTACAAATGTCCAGTGAGACTGCGTGGCCCTCAGGAGCCTCTGAGACACGGATTCTTCCAGGCTCTTCTCCCTGCTCAGGTATTCTGGGCCCCACACTGGGTGCTCCTTTCCTCTCCAAAAAACCCTGAAGAAAAGGGAAGGTGTCTCCCGTGATGGTGAAAGTCGCGCCGTGAGTTCCTGAATCCACCTGTTGCCGGGCACCAGACCAGGTGTGACCCCTAGCATAGAAGCAGTGCTGCAGTCGTCCTCCAGGCTTCTAGGAATGTTCAGGCGAACAAAGAAGAAGAGCAAGTCGTCATTCACTGTTGACTGTTGGTTCTAACAGTAAACGCAGTGGAATGAACGTTTGTTTCTGGAGTCTGCATCCCCAATGAAACGAGATTTGTGAAGCCCGTTTTATAGATGCATACATGAAAGCACTTGAAAGCTGGGTATGATGGCACATGCCGATAGTCCCAGCAGCTTGGGAGTTTGAAGCAGGAAGGTTGCTTGAGCCCAGGAGTTTGAGGCAGCCTGGCCAACATAGCGAGACCCTGTCTCTTTTGAAACAGATAGGTGCATGCTGCTCTCTGTGCATAGAGATAGCCACAAAACTGCCCACGTCAAACGGCTGGCTCTGTGGTGTGCATGGGGGTGTTTGGTGTTTTTATGCGTTAGCTTTCTTCCTAGTGTCTGGGAACTAGACTTGGTGCACACTTAGTTTAGAAGCTCAAAATGCAAATAATTTTTGGAAGATGTTGGGGGTACTAATTTGTAACTATTTATTAATAAATATTTGTTCGGCCAAATAATATTTGGGAATATTTATTAATAAACCAAATACTTACTAAAAACTTGCTAGTTCTTGAAGAGATGCAAAGGTGTCTGAAATTTGGGCCCCTTCCTCAGGGACCTTACGCCTCGTCCCCAGGGTCAGACGGGTGCAGATGACTACCCAGAGCAGACGAGAAAGCCATGGTCCAAGTTCAGAGCTCCCAAGTGACCCGTGTGATCTGGAGTCGGTGGGGCAGAGGAGAAAGCCAGCGCTTTCCAGGGACTGCTTACATGGGGCGCCTGATGCACTCCGGTGACCTTCTGAAGCACGCCTGTTGGGAGTGGCCGAGGACTGGCGTGACCGACCGTGAGGTCATGGACAGAGCCGATGGACCAGCCTCCACTCTGCGAGGGGCTCAGGGCTTCAGCCGTCCCTGGGACCGTCGTCCTCATCGTCTTGTGTGCGCGGGTTCTCAGGGCGTGCTGCTCTGTGGTCTGGGTCTCAAATACACCCTCCTTCTGTTGAATGCAGAGACCTGGAGAGCCCGAACACCAGGCTGCCCCCAGGCGGGGGTGCCCTGTGTGTGCGGATGCAGAGGGCTTCTCTGTGCAGTGGCGTCTCTAGCAGCCAGTGGGGAGACTGCGGGCTCGGAACAGTGTGTAAAAAGGAACGCTTCTGCCTGGTCAGAAGGAAAGTCGGTTCTTCCTCCACACGAGTGCTTTTCGGAAGGCGTCCTGAGAACTACAGCTTAACTCTCCTTCGGTGTCCAGTGGCAGACATGGGATCCGTTTTTGCGAATTCACACCGTGGTCTGAATTACGATACCACTGTTGACGGATTCAAGTTTCTCAGGCCCTGGTGCCTCGGTGGCCGGGCAGCCCCCTCTGTAGTTAGCGCCGTAATTCGGGATGTGAGACCAGAGGTTCTCAAGGGCTGTGTGTGAAGATGTGGACACAGTGGCTGCAAGTGTCCCCCATCGGGACAGGCCCCGAAGACCCAGCCATGGGGAGAAGTTGGCCTTGACTAAGGAGCGCTGTGGGACCCTTGTCACTCTCGTCACTGTGTGGCCTGAGCGCTCTTTTCTGCCAGGTCTGCGGGTGGCCGTTGCCAGTCTGTTGGTCACATCAGATGAAAGCTGCTTGTGCCTAGTAGATGCCTTAAAACCGAGGTCTTGAAAGTCCACAGGGGTTCTTGGATCCTCCAGTTCGGGAGATGCTGGGCCATCTGTTCCTCTTGGTCCTCACTGACGGTGTGCGTTTCCAGGGCAGCCTAGGCACTCGAGGAGGCTCCGTGTCTTTTGTCTGGCTGTAAGTCTCGGCGCCACCCTGCCTTTTGACTTCAAGACCACCCTACAGTGACCACGGTAGCCATGTAGTGGGTCCTTGACCCATGAGTTGGGCCTGACACCAGCGTTCTGTAGTGCGCCTTACCGGTGATTAAAACCTCGGGATCTCAAGTCACAGCCCGAGTTCAAGCCCCATCTCTGCCACTGTGCAGGTGGATGGGCTGAAGCACGCTGGTCCCCGCGAGCTTGGTTTCCCCAAGGCTTAACAGCACTTCCTTCCAAGAGCATCAGGGTGGAGAGAATGCCACTGTGGGCATTTTGCTCAGCCCCAGCATATGGCAGTTGCTAAGGAGAGTGTGCACCTGCTCCTGAAAATACAGTCCAGGCTTCGGTGTGTGGGATTTGCTCCAGCCCCTGGGGAAAGTCGTCACATGGGGCGTGTTAGTGCCAAAGCGAGGGCGGCTGGGGCCTGTCCCAGCTTCACCTGCGTCGCAGCCCTCGGTCTCTTGGCAGACTTCAAAGAGACAACTGGCTTGTAGTTTATTGCTGCATCTGCGGTCTTCCTCCTTTGGCCTTCCTGTCTGAAGTCTCAGCTCTGCAAGGACCGCGTGGCACCGTTAGACTGGGGGACTCTCGGCACCCGACTGTGCTCTGCCCAGTCACGTTTCCTACAGCTCTCTTGCCTGGCCTGTCTGTGTCCACTTGGCCTTTGACTTGATAGGTTTCCCTGTTGATGGCTTCTGATGAGAGAGCGCTTTTCAGGCAGAATGCTGTGGCATACACAGATCAGGACCCAGACACAGTGAACCCTCTACTGAAATGGCACATGGCGCCTGCCATGTGTGCCATGGACCGCGTCAGTCCCCTCTTGCTCAGTTTAGACACAGATGCATGCAAGTGCCTCGGAGGACTGCCATCAGGCCAGATTCTCGGGAGGAGGGATGGGGTGGGGGAGCTCCCAGATTCCGAATCACCACAAAGTGGGGTTCATCTGGGGGGTAAAAGGAAGAAGGACCAAGCAAGGAGGACCGGGTGCTGTGAGAGCACATCGGAAGGGTGCCCCATCTCGCAGACAGTCACAGAGGGCTCCTTGAGAGGTGCTTCCTACGACAAGTTTTACAGGGGTGGGAAGTTGGCCAGATGAAGCCGTTCAAAGCAGTGTGACTAGCCGGGCTCGGTGGCTCAGCCTATAATCCCATGCTTTGGGAGGCTGAGATGAGTGAATTGCTTGAGCCCGCGGGTTCAAGACCCGCCTGGGCAACTTGGCGAGACCTCATCTCTACAGTAAGTCAAAAAAATTAGCTGGGCATGGTAGTGCACGCCTGTAGCTCCAGCTACCTGGAAGGCTGAGGCGGAAGGATCGCCGTAGCCCAGCAGGTCGAGGCTGCGGTGGCGGGGAGCGGCCACTGCACTCCAGTCTGGGCAACAGACTCCAACTCAAAAAACAAAAGAAGTCACCTACTTCATAACTGGAGTACAAGGTAAAGAGAGGAGAAGGGATTATAGGTGAGCACTTGGGCCTGCGTTTTTAGGAGGAGTGTTTGGTGGCTGAGAGCCTGGAAGCCTGGACTTGCCATGGTGTCCTAGGACGGTCCTGGCCGCATGGTGGAGAGTGGACTGTGGGAGAGCAGTAGGAGACAGAAAAGCACCGCAGGTCGGGCAGGAGAGTAGCTTTGGGGTGGGGAAGTGCAGGCGGGTTCCAGTGACGTCGTAGGGTGGGCTCCCTAGCACATGGTGGTTTCCTGGGAGGCTGGCGGGGAGGGCAGGAGCCAGGGAGGTCCAGTGTTCTGCTCAGGCAGCGGGGCAGGCGGCACTGGCCAAGATGGGGCCTCCGAAAGGGATGCGACTGGGAGACTGGATGGCGAGCTCCGCTTAGCAGCTTCCCCGTCGGCAGTTGGCGACCAGGCTGGGAGAGTGGATGCCAGTCACCCGGGGCGAGGAGGCAGAGCCTGAGGAGGAGGGTCGGGGCAGGTGGAGGAGGGAGGAGGAGAGCCAGGGACGGCGCCCTCGCCGGCAGCCGCGGGACGAGGACGCGGTTACCAGGGCCCCATTCAGAGAGACGGAGAGCGCCAAGAGCCGAGTTGCTGGCTTTCAGGACAAGGCGGTTGCTGCTCAGCACCAGCTGTCGCATCGGAGAAGCGGCTGGCTCCAGTGGCAGGGCTCTCTGTTGAGAACATAGTGCTGTGTGTGCGTGGGCATGGTGAGGGGACAGCAGGGACAGCACAAGACATGCGTGGGAAGGAAGACGCAGGGCCGACAGCCCCGAAGCCTGGTCCCAAATCAGCCCTCAAAGAGGCGTGGGCCGCGGACAGGATTGGCACAGCCACGTTTGATAAGGCCAAGTGCGTGTGGCCGGACCTGCAGTCCTTCCTCAGGCCACCACGCAGGCAAGCCATGGGAGCAGGAAAATCCTCCCACGAAAGAACTACCCGCGTAGCCTCAGGTTTCAAAACATGTTTTCTACCAAGTAGCTTTCGGTAACGGTGAAGACTAAATCCCTCGCTCTCCAGCTGAGCAGTATTCCAGCGTCACTGCTCCTCCTGTTTTAAAAATAAGGCACCGCCTTGGTAGCAGCCCACACGTGGAAGTGTGTTCTGGATCCACCAGTGAAGCCGGTGACTGTGGATTCTGCTGGTCGGGGTCCCCTGAGCCGTTGGCGAGTCCACCTCTGAGTACAGACCTTCTGTTCCCGGGGCTTGATATTTTTGGAATGCTCGTGCGTTCGTGCCGTGTCGCAGTAAAAATGA